AATCCCAGGATGCTTTTTTTTAATTAATTAATTTATTTATTATATATACACTTTCCAGGATACAATGCCAGATCTCATTACAGATGGTTGTGAGCCACCATGTTGTTGCTGGGAATTAGTAGCCAGTGCTCTTAACCTCTGAGTCATCTCTCCAGCCCCCGAGGATACTTTTATAAACCCTGCAAGTTGGGTATTTTCTTTTTGCTTTCCCTGATTGTGAGGCATGCAAAGACAGATTTGCATTTGAACTCCAGTACTATAGCAGTTTCAAGAGCATTCATTTCAAGCTGGGCCTGACCTCTTTATCATACATGTACACATGTGGTGTATGTACTCCTATATTTTAAAAGATTGTCTGTGTGTGTGTGCACCATCATGGCAGGGAGCATGGTGCTGGAGAAGTAACTGAGCTATATCCTGACCCACAAGCAAAGAGCGGGCACAGGAGGCCTGTCCTGAGGCCTCAAGCAAGCCTACCTCCTGACAAACTTCCTCCAACAGAGCCATACCTCCTAATCCTCCTAATCCTTCTCAAATAATGCCACTCCTTGGTGACCAAGCTTTCAAATAGAAGCCTAAGGGGGAGCCATTCTTCTTCAAACCACCCCAAAGCCCTAATTTTGCTATTTTGCTGGTCTGCAGTAGTTTCAGGACTGCCAGAGCTACACAGAGAAACCCTGTGTCAAACAGATAAGGAGTCCCAGATATATACCTGCTCAAATCAAGACTCAACTCTGTGTCCAGGTTGTGATGGATGCTGGCTTTGTTTCAGAAGGGGCAGGTCTTCTTGCTGCCTATGGATATCTGTATAAGAGGTATCAATAAAATATGACAAGACTTTTTTTTTTCTGTTGAGAAATTTTTGTTTGGGGTTTTTCTGGTTTTTTTTTGGGGGGGGGGTTAAATTTGAGGCAAGGTCTCATTGTGTAGCCCTGACTGGCCTGGAACTTGCAGTATAGACCAGCCTGACTCAAACTTGGAGTGGTCTTCCTGCAATGTCAGAATTGTAGGCCTGTGCCTTCACACCCGTCTCATGGCTGACCTGGAATTCTCCCAACACCGTGAGTACACCGTGAGTCAGCCAGGGGCACAGGAGCATTGGGGCCTTTGGTCCTGAGAGTGGGAACAGTAATTCCTGTGCCCCTAGTTGGCGAGAGTGATTGTAGCTAATCAGGGCGGTTGAGAACCATTTGCCTGGTATTGCGTTAGAATACGTCTCTCACTCTATCGTGGGATTCGTCTCCTTCGGGATGAAGGCGCTGTTACCTCCTTTCAGGCATTTTGCCCAGTGTGAGAAGAATCCAGACCGAATCCAAGTTTACCTGCCTCCAGGTGCTATGTTTTTTGCTATGTAGCCCAGACTGTCCTCCAACTCGTGGCATCTTCCCACCTGCTTGCCAAAAGCCAGTTTTCCAGTACGGCCACAGGGACCTTAGTTGACTTAAGTCAGAACGGACGAGTGAGGGGTGAGGGCTTGGTCACGGGCTAGGGTAAGGCTGTAGCCGAGGGCAGCAGGAGTGTGGAAATGTGGATGGGGGTGTGAGGATGGTGGGCTGGACCCACACACATGTTCAGGGTGTTTGTCCCACATGGCGCCTTCTCCATTTCACTGGCCCCTAAGAATGGGGAGCCCTGGGCCATCTCATTTCATTCTTAGGCTTCTCGTGTTATTTGGAGTGGGGAAGTGAGGGTCAGCAAGTTGAGGAACTTGCCAGATGTCACCCTGCTAGGAAGGACTAGAACTCATCTGTGACATTATAGAGCCCACTTCTAGTCACCTTCTGCCTGCTCTACCTAAACAGCACAGGCTCCTGTTAGGGCCAGCTTCCGAGGCTGTTGTGGGATGCTGCCCAGCTTCTCAGGTTCCTCATGGCTTAGCTAAAGTCAGAGTACATGTCACTCTTCCTCCCCTTCACACCTGGGAGGTACAGTTTTGAATTTCAGTGGCTACTGTGACTCTCCGTGGGGAATAGCCTGTCAGTCAGGAGGGTTCCCCATGCCTTTGGCTCTCAAGATGGTATAGCTGGGGTCTTTGTTTTTAATCATAATATTTCACATTTTTCTTTCCATGGTGAGCATCATGAGCCAGCTAGGGGTGGTAGAAAGGCTTCCTTTAATTTCCACTGTTAGTTCACTTAAAATGCTATTTAAATTGTACACACACACCCTAAGGCTTTTGATTATTGTTGGAAATCAATTGGACTTTGCAAAAAATGCTCAACAAGTTGGACTCTTGTAATCTATGCACTCGGTGGCACCATTAGCAGGGACCAAAGTTCAGAAATTAAAATGTGCCAAGCGCTGTGCCCGTATATGTAATTCATTTCTCTTCAGGAACTTCAATGCATTTTCTTTATTGAGAATTAAGTCAAGCAATTTTTAAATTTATTTTATTTTACTTTTTTGACTTTTTTTCCCAGACAGGATTTCTCTGTAGCCTTGGGTGTTCTGGAACTCCTCTCTGGCCTTGTACTCAATTATATATCCACAGGTGTACACATGTATACACACGCCACACATACATACACATGTGCGCATACACACACACACAGAGCTGGGATCAAAGGCATGCACCATACCCAGACAAGGATTATTCTTAATTCATTTGAAATAGAAGACCCACTGTAATCGGGATCTTTCAGGTAGGGAGATTGACCTTTAACCTGGCCCCATCTAATGCTGGAAGCCTGTTTAAGGACATGGAAGAAGGAAGCTTTTGCTCTTCAGCTGCTGATGCTGGAGACCAGCGGAGACTTCCAGCCTCTGATCAACTACTGGGTTCTCAGACTTTCTGTTGATAGACAACCATTAGACTAGCTGGACTGCTGACTGCCTGTACCACTCACTACCTGGACCAGTGTAATAAGTTGGCGCGCGTAGGTGTGTGAGTTCTGTTCCTCTTGAACCCTGACTATACAAACAGGAAGAAGACCAGGAGATTTAGTTGGGTTTTTGTTTGTTTGTTTTGTTTAGGGCCTGATATTCATCTTTGTTTTCTTACTTGGCAAGTGTTCTCTCTTACTAGATACAGAATGCATCTTACCACTGCCTCATCATTCTTTGTCCCAGGACTTTTTTTTTTTTTTTTAAGAGAGCTTGTGTGTGTGTGTGTGTGTGCGCGCGCGCGCGCCCGCACTTAGGTCAGAGGCATTGGATCCTCCTAGGCTGGAGTTACAGGCTGCTGTGAGCCATTTGATGTGGGTTCTGGTAACCAACTCTGCCAGTACAGTGTGTTCTTAACCGCCCTCTTCAGCCCTCTCGTTTCACTACTGGTCTCTCTAGCTCCCCTCTTCTAGGTCTTTCTAGTTGTCCTGACAGTTGAACATGGTTACATTTCTAATACTTTCTGTATGTCTTGCCCACTCCCCCGCCCCAACCCCCAGAGAGAAGTCCCTTCTATAGGATGCTTGTGAAATTACTAAAGAACAATAATGTAAGACAAGATAGTGCCCATCTTTAATCCCAGTGCTCTGGAGGCAGAGCACTTTGGATCTCTGAGTTCAAGGCCAGCCTGGTTTACTAGCCTCAGGACAGCCTAGGTTACTTAGTGAGACCCTGTCTCAAAATACTCCTCCCACTAAGAGGACAGTGAGTCTGCAGAAGACAATGCAAATGTCCATGGCCGGGTCTTTCCAGGGTTTTCCAGCACCCTGCAGCCTGAGCCAGTACCTACACCATAGCATTTTCTCTCCTTTTTCAGTTCAGAGTCATGTGAGGTAGATTGCATGGGTCCATGTTTGTGACCTACTCAGCATTTAATGCATGCTGCAAGTGCTGCTTCTGTAGAAGGAGCCGTGAACGCTTTTGGATTTGGGGCATAGCCAGGAACCTCTGCCTGTGTACTTTTCTTAGGCTTCCTACAGAGGAGAAGTGAGAAAAGAAATAATTCTACTCCAGGGAAATACATAATTGAGAAGCTGTCTGCGTGCATAAGAAAACACACTATGGCCTCTGTAAAGCAGAGAGGCTGCCGGGGCCATTGTTTTCCCTTCTTTCCTTGGTGTTTGTGTAAGCCCCAGGGGCTGATGTTACTCATCCTGGCCCCTGGGCAGCCAAGGCTGTGGACTTGAACCACTTGGCTTAGACAGCTGGGCATGGTGGTGCAGACTTGTGCTCTCAGCTCTACAGAACAGAGGCAAGAGGCTCCAGGCCTGCCTTCAGAAATCAGACAGGTCACACAGGAGATGTGTGGGCATGGAGCCCACGTGGCTCAAGGATGCTGGGAAGTTGCTGACACTGTTGGATAAGGGCTAGGGACCACTTTTATCTTCGTGGTTGTGCTGGGCAGTGGTATCACAAAAGGGTAGCGTGCAAACGTGATGGCTGTGGTGGGGAGAATGAAAGGCGTGGGGTGAGAGCAGCCTCCCAAGGGAGACTTGGCTCTAGGTAGTGGATTTAGAGAAAAAGCACAGTATGATTTACAGGTTTTCTGTTAAGTATAGGTGGATCCCAGATAGTCCAATAAGGGAGAGCTTGTTTTATTCGTCTTCCTCCCCCATTTCTCTAAATCATCGAATCTGCAAAGCATGATGCAAATGTTAATTAACACTCCGGCTCTCCTGGGAAGACAGGCAAGTGGGAACGCCTGCCTCCCCCATTAGTGAAGTCCAGGGAATAGACAGGTGCCAGAGTCTCAGGTAAGCAAAACTTCAGAGGCATTCTTTCACGTGGCTCCACTGGGAGCCCCAACCCTCTCCCCCATTCTTAGCAGGCCAGTGAGAAGTCTGAGACCAGGTAGCAATGGGAGATGTGAGAATTGGAAAGGAATTGTGACCTCCATAGTTTTTCAAATGTGGTTTTTCAAATGTTATGCTTGCTTTAGGTCATTTCTTTGCCTTTTAAAATACACAAATAAACACATACACTGGGCTCCTTGTCGGAGCAAGGTGTTGCGGAGAGAATCACTTCTCACAAGCTGGCTACCACCCTTCAGGGCATTGCTAAGTGGGAAGTCCCACACTATTCCAGATGAGGCTGTTGTGTGGTTTGCTTCCCTGCAGGTGGTGGCTTCAAGTGTTGGCGTACTCCTGGAGTCTGAAAATAGATGAGATTTCTGGACTGTTGGATGTGGTGGGTAGCTGAATCGCTTCCGAGTCTGGGGGTGTGGGTTCCTAAGTGGCCTCCACGGGGGGCTGCCAATAGCCCATCTTCAGTTCTGTGCTCAGGGATGCGGATGCCAGTTTGCTAGGCACCTGTGTCATTCTTGAAAATACTGTGTTAATGCTGAATCTCCAGTTATCTGACAAAGCCAGCAAGGCTGAAGTGGTGCGGTGTGAGGGGGTCAGAGACGAGGACAGGTCTTCTGTGGCCGGTGTCTGCTGATCCCTCTCAGGCGCTTGCGCTCATCCTGTCGGAAGCTTTGCTCCATCTGCTGATGGTGTTTTCCTTTGCTGCAGGCTGCCGAGAACCAGCTGTGGGCCTCTGCTAGAGAGCCCTTCCTCTGACGTCACCAGTGTGTGGAGCCTGCCGCACACCCACCCCCCGCCAAACCACGGCCTTTACCTGTGTCTTCCGGTGTTTCCCGTGCGACCCGTCCTGTGGGAGTGCCTCGTGGGCTGCCCCAGAGTTCACCCCGCGCTCAGCTGCACCGATGGTGAAGATGACAAGATCCAAGACGTTTCAGGCCTACCTGCCCTCCTGCCACCGCACCTACAGCTGCATCCACTGCAGAGCTCACCTGGCCAATCATGACGAACTCATTTCCAAGGTACTGGTGTCATGAAGGCCTTTCTTGCCTCCCAGTAAGGGTGCATTTCCTGTTCCTGCGGTCACAGACTTACAAGCTCTCCTACAGTCTAGGATGTTTGCACTGTCTTTATAAGGAGAGGGCCGACCTGCAGACTGTCCACTGAGAATCAACTCTGAATTGCAGGGACAGAGTAGTGGATCAGTTTGTATTTGTTTTGATTTTTTTGAGACAGAGTTTCTCTGTGTTGCTTAGGAACCAGTCCTGGAACCTGTAGAACCTGTAGACCACACTGGCCTCGAACTCACAGAGACCCGTCTGCTTCTGCCTCCTGAGTACTGGGATTAAAGGCGCATGCGCCACCACCGCCCAGCTCGGAGCAGCTTATGTTAGAAGTTAGATGTCAACCCTGTTAGAGGCTTTGGGGCCTGGCAGCTCACAGTTTTGTGGTTCATCGGGGCCTCTGTATGTTAGGCAAGAACTCTACCACAGAGCCAGGCTCCATCCCCACTGTTAGCTCAAATGGGAGAGCCCCTGGCAAGCCCCAAGGAAAGTGGCGAGGCTGAGGCATTGTGAAAACTTGTCCTTTGGGGAGGAACAAAAGTGGCCTGCTGAAAGGCTGAGCCGCGGGCCTGAAGGAACCTCTATATAAAGTGATACAGAGTGACATTTGATCATAGCTAAAGAACGAGTCCCTGTTTCCCCAGAGGTGCCTCGACAGCTGCTTCTGAGGTTGGGGCTGGGGGTTACTAATGAATAAACTCGGGTTCTCAATTGTGTAATACAGGAACTGAATACTTCGGGCAATATTCTCAGGGGAGCTATCTCCCTCCCAGCCCTGGGTTCCCAGGGGAGGAGAAACAGGTTTTACTAGGCTCTGACAAAGAGAAAAAGATCGTGGGAGAATACCCCCTTTAATAGCATCTTTCTTGAGAAGCTAGCCTCCACACAATTAAGGGACAGACAGATACTTAGGCAAAGACTCTTGCTTTCTTCTCCTTGGGTTTGGCAGTCTCGGCCCAAGAGGGGTGACAGCTCCAGCCCGCAGTTCAGAACATTCCTCTTCCAGCTGGCTGCCTTGACTGGTGTGTGAAGGCTGACCAGATAATCGAGTCTGCAGTCACAGATTCTGAAATGAGGGCCCAGAACAGAATCTGCTGTTGTGGGTCTGTTCCAAGCTACCCAGTAACCTACAAGCTCAACCTCGATGCCCCAGGGCCCTGGCAGAATGTCCACCTGTTCCACTCTTCTTCATCCCCAAACTTTGTTATTTACACTTGAGCGAGCCTTTAGCTATCTACTGTATCATCTTGGTGCAGGGTTCTTTGGAGTTTTGGGGTAAACCCTTGACTGGAAATTTGGATGTGGGAGGCCATGTCTATGGAAGAGCTAGCCAGTCTCCTGGCATGGAATGTGAGCCAAAAACCCGTATTTGAGTTGGCACTGTATCCCTTCCACAACCTTTTCCTGGAGACATTTCCAAAATAAGTGTTTCTATCTAGGGAGACATCTATGGCACCATTTTAACATAAGGAAGAAGTGTCTGTGGTGTAAGAAGTCAAGGCTCCAGTGCATTTTAGCATCTGTGTACTGACTAAAAAATGCTATTCCAGTAACCCCTGTGACTCCTTAAGGTGAGTGGAAGGCCACGCCATACCAGCAGGGAAGCCGGTTTTGTCTGCAGGTCTGAAAAGATGGATGGAAGTCGGATATTCTGTAGAGATGGCAATGACCTTCGAGGTTATCTCTACTGCATTTGGTCAGGTGGACAGGGCCTTTGGCGGTCTGTCACGTCCTTGCTTTGTTTCAGTTAGCCACGAGACACAAGCGGCCTTCTGTGGATATGAAAGTGGGGGTCTCAAGCCTCTGCCGAGAGCAGCCCCCCTTTCTCATGTACCCTTCCACGTCCTTCTGTTGTGTTCTGTCTGACTTAGTTCCCAGATCAGAATTTGACCCATGGCAAAAACTCAGTAAGTAAGTGATCAAATAAACGGGCAGATGGAGCCTTGGGAGATGAGGCAGAAAGAAAAGCTTGGTTGGCCTCGTGTCCTCCTTCCTACCCACTCCCCGGGCAGGGAGGCTCACAAGTCCAGGCCAAAGTCAGCACAGGCCTTGATTTCATTGGCTGCGGCCAGTGCACAGATGGGGTACATCAGGGCTGGATGATTTAAAGAGTTGGGTGGAATGCCTGGCTGGGGAAAGTGAGGGAAGGGTGCTGGGGAAGGTACAAAGCTTCCTTTATTCCGCTCTGCCACCCCCAGCATTAAATAATCTATACATTCTTATGCACGTCTGCTTAATGGAAAGATCATTGCCTCGGCCCCCTCCTTGGAAAAATGGGCCTTTTCTTTTCTCGTGCCCCCTCCTCCATTTAAGAAAGTTCAAGGAGAGAATGTCCCTCCTGTTCTCCCTCTTGACTTAATCTCCTGTATGGTTTCAGAGTCTGCCCAGTAGGAGTTGAGAGCTGGGCAGCAGATAGCGGGGGTGGGTGCAGCAGAGCAGCTAAATGAGGCTTTGTGCGTGAAATGGGGTCCTGAGTCAGAGAGCTGAACCTTTGTTTGGGGGCTGCTTTATTATAGCGCACGAGATGCAAAGGTCTGGAGCACAGAGTGAGCCTAGGAGCAGGGGATTTCAGGCTCCCTTCCTATCAGCATTGCTAAGCCATCAGGGAAGTACAACATGGTAAAGTTTAAACAGCCAGAATATGTTGATTCTGGTGCTGGAAAGCTGTGCTGGGGTTGCTTCCTTCCCAGCTCTCTTTACAGACCCAGGAGGTAAGCTGCCAGCAGCCAGCTGCCCAACCTCTGAGTCTTTCCTTTCTTGCTCATAAAATGGGCAAAATGCTATTGGCTGTTAATGGAGTCTGACATCTGTGAAGGCTAGTGTAACAATGGACCATCAACAGACACATTGACTTCTCACACTTCTGGAGGCGGGGAAACCCCGGATTTGGAAATTTGGCAAACTCGAGGTTGTCTCAAGGTTCACTTTTCAGTTCACAGAAGGCTTCTTGTTACTGTGTGGCCTTCCATAGTGGGAGGGGCAAAGTATCTTTCTCTGGCTTATTTATGTATTCTCGTATTTTGTGTATGTGTTTTGAGAAAGTCTTGCTGAGTTGCCTGGTATGGTCTCTGAATTGCTGGGCTAAAGCGGTCTTGCTGCTTTGACCTCCCAGGTATCAGGGCATGTGCTACTGAGCTTGGCTTCTTCTGGCCTCTTTATCCTGACAATCATCTTACTTATGAGGGCTCTGCCCTCGTGGCCTAATAACTTCCTAAAGGCCACATGTCCCAATACATGTATTTCAACACGATGGTGGGGCGGTGGCATTCAGACCCAGAGCAGGGGGCAGGTAACCACACTTCTTGTGTGCCTCCATAGCAAGGCTTACCTCATGGGGTCGCCACACAGCTCAGTGAGGTCAGGGGTGCATAGGTGGTTTGTAAATATGAATGCAGTATGAAATGGTTCCATTTCTTCTCTTGGTCTTCCCATGCAAATGTAGAGTAGGGGGAGTACGTTGGAGGGGCATTCTGGGTAATAGTCACGTGTTTAACATTAAGACCTGGTGCCTGGTCATTGGGTGTACAGAGGGGACAGTTGGGAGCCTAACGTGTCCATAGGAAGTAACTCAGCCTTTGGTCTGTGGGAGGGGAGACCTCCGGGGAATGTGCCAAGGCTCCTACAGCCTTTCTCTTAGAGGGTGTTGTGGTCCCCATGCTGGGGTGTTTTGAGTTGACATGAGGAATTGCTCGCAGTGTTGTTTCTTAATGTTGGCAGGCCCAGCATAAAAATACACCGGCTTCCACCGGACCAGTGAGTCCGTATGCCTTAACCTCCCTAGCAGTCAAGACCTATAGGCCCCTGCCACCAAGTCCAGTTTTACAAAGCTCTTGTGAGGAGGCCTTCCCTTGCTGTCTGCCCACCAGCCCTCAACTGAGCGGTAGGGCGTTTAGAAACTTGTGACTTCATTCCGAGACTTGATCCTTATCGGAAGGGCTTTGTGGGAGGCTGTTGGGTGGGTGTCCGGGCAGGTGGAAGGAAGCAATATTTTGCTCACCACCCAACCTACTTGTTACTGTTTGGTCGGATCTGTGGGTCTGATTGTTTTCTGGAGACAGGTGTTCTAGGACTGCAGACTGTCTGGTCTTGATGAGGAAACCATTCTGGGTGTGGCAGTGACCAGCCTTAGGTCAGCGTACTCTGAACCAGCGATCTCTATCTCAGTCTGGGCCACCTTCTGTGTTAAGGGCCCTAAGCTGACTTGCCTTCTAAATAAGGCTGGGAACTCTAGAGGCAGGTTTTGTTCCTTGTGGGGTTCATCGGGCTGGCTGTGGTGGCATTTGGACTCTCCTCCCGCTAAGAGATTTTCTGTGGCATTGCTTTGAGAAGAGGGGTGGGAGGGTGCCATGTGCTGATGCCGTATTGATTGATCTAGTGGCCGCTAAAGGGCTAAGCTGTCCTTAGTTTCCACCTGTGCCTTTGAGCCCTAGTGTTCCACACCTGTGGTTCCCAGCAAGCCTTCTACCTCTCACTCCAGTGCAGTGGCTTAAAGGTTGCGGGCCTGGCGGGGTGCTGCTGTGGTGCAGAGATCTGTCCCACCCTGCTGACCGTCCTGTCAGGCAGGACTTTGTTTCTCCTGGTTTCTGCTGCCCACCATTCTGAGCTTTCAGTACTCTAGCTGGGCGTTAGAGGCGCACACCTTTAATCCCAAGCACTTGGAAAGCAGAGGCCAGCCTGGTCTACTGAGCGAGTTCGAGGACAGCCAGGGCTACACAGAAACAGCCTGTCTCAGCAAAAACAACCACATAGACTCTAAAGCAGTGGTCCTCAACCTTCCTAATGCTGTGACCCTTTAATGCAGCTCCTCATGTGATGGTGACCTCCAACCATAAAATTATTTTCATTGCTACTTCATAACTAATTTTGCCACTGTTATGAGTTGTAAATATCTGGTGTGCAGGATAGCTGATATTCGACCCTCAGGGTCATTTGACCCACAAAGGGGTCACGACCCACAG